TAAGCTCAGCTCATGGCCAACTCAAGCATTCATCCAATTATTTTGATAAATGAGTACCTGGCTTGTACAGAGAGTTGCATATTGCAATAGAATGGTTCTGGTGGATCAGCAATCTATTGATGGCAATGGAAATACCATACAAAAACTTATCTACTTTAATGATTTGCCAGCTTTTTGCCAAAGTGGAAATTCACACATCAATTAGAAACATGATTAGCCTAAAGAGTGCAAGTACTGACTAAAAACTGGACCCAGACCAAGGGACTAAAACCCAGACACAGATGGGTCCCCCCACCACGATCTAGAAAAAAATTATATATTGTAAATTGTTTGAAACCTTAAGAAAACTTTATATTTGGAATAACAAATTTTAAAGTTTTTTATCCCATTAGCACATCAGGACTTCAGAATAGTGCATTTTCAATCAAACTTATCAATAGAGAATTGTCTGAAATGTCTAGAAAACATGAAATAAGTGAACTGAATTGATGTAAATTTTCTTTTAAAAATTCCAAGTCAGGTCCAGCAGACCCCAGACCAGTCAAACGGTACAAGATCCCTGTATTGGAGTTACAGAAAAGTATATTTTTAGATCAAACTATACAATAGAATGTGGACCAGCATCCTTTCGCGCTTCTCAGACAAGATTTTTCTAAGTAAATTTACATGCAAAATTTCAAATTTTCTCAAGGTTTAAGATGATATGTAGCCTTATATTTTTTGTGATCCTGGTACAATAGACCAGTCCAGGCCCAGGTTTTAGATGCTGGGTTGGGCCCAGCAGGCCAGTCTGGCTTACTGAAGGTCTCCACCTCCCCTACAACCTTTGTAAGCCTTCTAGCTTTCTATTAAACCTCTTACTGTGTTTCTATTCATAAATATCAAAAACAATCGCAACAAGAAAAAACATATAATGTACAGGGGGACAATACAAGAAAATGAGATGCATGCAAAACCAAGGTATGGGGTTCACCTTAACCTTGAATCACTCATATATCAGTTTGCTAACTTTAACCCAGTCAGAAAGGCTGAAGGTAGTCAAACCTAATGAACCTAAGGAGTGCACTTAATCCACTACCATTACAGGAATACATGGTTAGGTCCACGAATCATTTCTAAGCTGAAGCATCCTTTTGTGCTTCTCAGACAAGATTTTTCTAAGTAAATTTACATGCAAAATTTCAAACTTTCTCAAGATTTCAAATGATATGTAGCCTTATATTTTTTGTGATCCTGGTACAATAGACCAGTCCAGGCCCAGGTTTTAGACGCTGGGTTGGGCCCAGCAGGCCAGTCTGGCTTACTGATGGTCTCCACCTCCCCTACAACCTTTGGACGCCTTCTAGCTTTCTATTAAACCTCTTACTGTATTTCTATTCATAAATATCAAAAACAATCGCAACAAGAAAAAATATATAAAGTACAGGGGAAAGATACAAGAAAAAGAGATGCATGCAAAACCAAGGTATGGGGTTCACCTTAACCTTGAATCACTCATATATCAGTTTGCTAACTTTAACCTAGTCAGAGAGGCTGAAGGTAATCAAACCTAATGAACCTAAGGAGTGCACTTAATCCACTACCATTACAGGAATACATGGTTAGGTCCACGAATCATTTCTAAGCTGTTAACTAACAATTACTACTCTGAGATATACTCCCAAAATAACTGATGACATGCATTTGCACCTCAGGAAAGGGGGTTTGCAAGGACCCCTAGTAGGTATTACCTACTTCCTTGCAGAGCAACTAAAAGAGAGCTTCCTACATCCATGCAAACTCACCATCATATCCTTGTGTTGATGAGAATCCCTTACTAGCAAACCAGTGAGGCAGCACAAATCAATCTAAATTATTTTTTTATTTCCATTGGGTTCCCTAAATTTACTAAACACTATAATTGTTGCTATATAGGTTAATTATTTAAATTCAATGCCATTCTTGAGCAGATCTGTTGTAATTTTTTCATTCATGAGGATCAAAGACATCCAGTCAAACCTTAAAATGTTTTATGAATTTTTCTAAATTTCTGCAATTTCCATAAAGGTAAGTTATTTAATCTCATTAGATCACCTATGTTGTGCTTCCTAACATCTTGGTGCAACATATGAAATAATTTATAAGTTATAAGAAATGTAGAATCTATATTATGTGTGAAAAGTAAATTCCAACAAATAATCTGTTAATTAATATCAAATTTTTTATGTCCAAGCAAAATGTAGAGATAACTGACCATAAGCTATGTTCACAGACACTCCTTGTGCATTAATATCTTTGTATTAATTTCCATTCATTGAATAATATAACCAGCATGTTACTTGCATACAACACTCTTTTTGATGACATTAGCAACAGAATTATCTAGATTTGATGTGATGGAATCCAGGATGGCAATTTTCTCTAACATTGAAGAATGTCTGGGCCAGGCAATGTCTGATTTAGCTAATACATAATCCGCATCAAGCTCCTCCATAGTCTGGGTCATGCTCCTACACTGTCAAGCAGCTGGGTACGCCAGATTAAGCTGTTACCTCCACTGGATTAAGCTGCTCCGTACGCTGTGTTAAGCTGCTATGCTCGCAGGGTTAAGCTGCTACAAAAACAAGATTTGAACAGTCAAATATAATCAAGAAACAAAGACCCTGTTTTAGCAACAGGTCAATGCAGTCATCCAGACAGCAGGAAATGTATTGGTTGCGAGTGCAGGATGAATACTGCTTGGTTACAAGGGTTGGACACAATCTCGTTCCTGACATCTGTTGGCTGAGATCGATTGTGCTGCCCAGTTTAAGGGGTAGTATAACAGACGCCATAGAAACAGGGTATATTTTCCTTCAACTGCAAAATAATGAAATGAAGGAATAAGTCCTAAAGCAGTGAAATTCAAAAAAGCAGATAAATAAAAGAATATATAAGTAGAATCGCTTATCTTAAAACTTGCATCATTACGTCAGGGCTAGTTTAGCTTCAACAAATGATATTCAGTAAAATCTGCCACCAAGAGCACAACAAAATGCTGACATCAGCAAAAGATATGAAATTAAATCAAACAAATTGATTGCCAGTCTTGCAAGGTTACTGAACTACTAGTACAGGCAATCTATTTTACAACTATACCAGAGTGTATTCTGCTAAAAGGAAATCATCAGTAAAGAAAGTAACCGTCAGTCAGGAAGCCAGGGTGTAACTGCAACACAGTTACCTCCAGGAGCATGACTGCCACTTTTACAACAACGGCTTCCAGTCCCTCATGCAGCCTCTACAAAAAATGGTTGCTGAGATTCCATTGAAAAAGCAGTTAGACCCAAACAAGCATGAGCCTTTAGCGTTCTCTTTCATATCCACGCCATCCAAAGAGACTGCCACTTTCAAGGGACATTGAACAGCTACGCCCCTCTTCCTTGGTGGCAGTGGGTGCTTTGGATTAGGTGCTCTACACAGCTTGGTCCTGTTGGCTCAGAAGATCAAATGTTCTGCACTTGATTCCTGTGTCAAGCTTCCTACATTCACATGCATCCTCACACCTGGGTGACTGAAGCAGTTTCTTATGGCCACTGGAGAGCAGATGCTGTTCAAACATGCATTTTCAACACATATCATCACACTTAGAGTACAAATAAATGGGTCTTTTTCTGTTGTATGTCTGAGTAGAAAATTCTTTTTCAAGTTCCATTTTGGGGTGTAAGCATAATCATTCAGAGCATTGTACAGGTTTTTCTGTTGAATGCTTTCAGAACAGTCAATCTATTTTACAACTATACATGAGTGTATTCTGCTAAAAGGTAATCGTCAGTAAAGAAAGTAACCGTCAGTCAGGAAGCCAGGGTGTAACTGCAACACAGATACCTCCAGGAGCATGACTGCCACTTTTACAACAACAATGGCTTCCAGCCTCTACAAAAAATGGTTGCTAATATTCCATTGAAAAAGCAGTTAGACCCAAACAAGGATGAGCCTTTATCATTCTCTTTTATATCCACGCCATCCAAAGAGACTGCCACCTTCAAGGGACATTGATCAGCTATGCCCCTCTTCCTTGGTGGCAGTGGGTGCTTTGGGTTAGGTGCTCTATACAGCTTGGTCCTGTTGTCTCAGAAGATCAAATGTTCTGCACTTGATTCCTGTGTCAAGCTTCCTACATTCACATGCATCCTCGTACTTGGGTCACTGAAGCAGTTTCAGAAGGCCACTGGAGAGCAGATGCTGTTCAAACATGCATTTTCGACACATATCATCACACTTAGAGTACAAATAAATGGGTCTTTTTCTGTTGAATGTCTGAGTAGAAAATTCTTTTTCAAGTTCCATTTTGGGGTGTAAGCATAATCATTCAGAGCATTGTACAGGTTTTTCTGTTGAATGCTCTCAGAAAAAATGTTCATTAAAGTCCCATTTTGTGGGGCAAGCACAATCACACTAAGAGAACTGAATAGGTTTTTCTGTTGAATGTTTGTTAAGAACATGATTTTTCAAGGTTTCTTTAATAGCACAAGCATAATCACACTCAGTGCACTGAAAAGGTTTTTCTGTTGAATGTTTGGAAAGAAAATGTCTTTTTAAGCTTTGTTTTAAGGTGCAAGCATAATCACACTTAGAACACTGAAAAGGTTTTTCTGTTGAATGTTTGAAAAGCAAATGACTTTTCAAGTTCCCTTTTGTGGCACAAGCATAATCACATTCTGAGCACTGAAAAGGTTTTTCTGTTGAATGTTTGGAAAGAAAATGAGTTTCCAAGTGCAGTTTCGTTGTGCAAGCATAATCACACTCGGAGCACTGAAAAGGTTTTTCTGTTGAATGTTTGTGAAGAAAATGAATTTTCAAGTTTGATTTTGTGATGCAAGCATAATCACACTTGGAGCACTGAAAAGGTTTTTCTGTTGAATGTTTGCGGAGGAAATGTTTTTTCAAGTTTTCTCTTATGGCGCAAACATAATCACACTCGGCACACTGAAAAGGTTTTTCTGTTGAATGTTTGCAAAGAAAATGTCTTTTCAAGTCACATTTTTTGGTGCAAGCATAATCACACTCAGTGCACTGAAAAGGTTTTTCTGTTGAATGTTTGGAAAGATTTCTTTTCAAGTTATTCTTCGAAGTGAAAGCATTATCACACATGGAGCACTGAAAAGGTTTTTCTGTTGAATGTTTGGAAAGATTTCTTTTCAAGTTATTCTTCGAAGTGAAAGCATTATCACGAATGGAGCACTGAAAAGGTTTTTCTGTTGAATGTTTGGAAAGGAAATGAATTTTCAAGCTCCATTTTGAGGTGCAAGCGTAATCACACTCGGAGCAAAACTTCTTCATTGATGAACGTTTAGAAAGGCAATGCTTGTGCAAGATTTCTTTGCAACAATCAGCATATTTACTTTGAGAGCATTTCTGTGCATTTCTCTGAGGATGATGTAGGAGAATATGTTGTTTGAGATCAGCTTCAGTAGCACATGAATGCAAACAGAACTGGCATTGGTGTTTACTTCTGCATAAATTTTTCAAATCAATATGCTCTTGCATTGATTTTCTTGTGGTACCCAATTGTTCACAGTCTCGGGACTTGAATGATTTTTCTATGAGTTGCTTGGAGCAGGACGCCCCAGAGACGCCAGCACCGCCAGCACCACCAGCGGCATATCCTGATGCTTGTGCTGACCCACCTTTGCCAAACTAATGATAAAAATGCAGAGTAAACAATCTCTCTTATAAATAAGAGCCACAGTAAATAGTTGACTTTCAAGTTTGATCCTCAGTAAAATACTAAAAATGTTGCAAAAGTCTGTTCTGGTTCATGCAAAGATTCCTCAGCACTAATAGTTGATCAGAGCAAATAGGTGAGTTAATATTTCCTGATCTGAACTTAGGGCATAGATTTTTGCTTGGCAAATTTAAACACAAATAAAAATTCAATTCAAGTTTGTACTCTTGTAAAATTAGATACATTAATTTCACAATTTTTCATTATTCATTTTTGAATTGAAACCTGTGTTCTCAACCACCAAATCGACAATCACCCTCACAGCACCACACACAGCCGTGTACATAACTCCTTCTCATTGAACACAACCCAAAATTCTTGGCCTAAACTTTGATGTCGTGCTTATTTTCACTGCCCAACACAAGACCACAACAACAAAATCCTCAAAAAGCAAAACGTGATGAAAGTCCTCTTGGAAACATAATATGGACAAGACTAGGAAACTTTACTACAATCCTACAAAACCATCTGTCGTCCAATAATTGATAACGCCAGTCAGAACTTGATGCCCATTCCTCCAACCTTACACAACTACAAATGGCTCAAAATGCTGCACTTTTTGTACAATAACTATTTGCAACAACACAACAGCTATCAACATCTCCACTCTGATTGTCAAATGTTTACTATACAAGAACATGCTGGCCTTCTCAGGTCAGTGTTGGAATCAAGAAAATCTTTCCAAATATTGTTTTGTGGTGTAATTTGGGGAAAGCAAACATTGTGAAAATTTACCTGATTTGACAACAGAGCAGAAATGTTCCAAGAGGAGTTTGGGAGGTTGTCATGAGCCTCGACTTGAGCTTCCATCTTGCACAGCTCACAAGAGGAGAGTGCAGGTGCAGGGCTGAGATGTACAGTTGAACAAGCCTGAGGGGATGTGGAGAATAATGTTGATGTGGCTGGCAGTGATGTGTGCATTATACAAGGAAAGATATAGTGTGTGACTCATGTGACTATCTGGGAGAAGTCGAGGACAATATTGATGTCGCTGGCATTTTTAAAAAAGGATATAATATAGCACTACTCATATAATTCTCCTAATTTCTCAACAGCTTCACAAATTAATGGCTATAATCTGCTATTACTGGCTGTAAAATGACTTTTCTTATCAATGCCTCACAATGCAAATATTCCATATGCCAGCTTTCATATTAAAATGGAAATACAAACACAATTGGAAATTTAGGACGAAAGTGCACACTTTCAATGAGGTTATGTTGGACCAAATTGGCATTCATAAATGGGTTACAAACTTTTATATTTGCATGGCTTGAGTTAAGAACGTAATCAATTGACATGAATGTTCTCCTGTACTATTCTTTATAATTCTCTGCTCTATACTTATTTATTTGTTAACAAGCAAGAAAGAAGACACCTATGAGAAAAAAAGCAGATTTGCATTCAGAGAAGCAAATTTAAAAAGAGTGAGTAATTAAGAATCAAAATTTCCTTAACTGCTTACCAATTATTGAATCAGGATGAGGGTGCTTCATACCAAGTTATACTTGCATAATATTTTCAGACTCAATACTAGGTTAAGTTTAATGTCCTGATCCATAAATTGAAGATTTGATTATGGGAATAGCACTCTGCAAATTTTTTTCATGAAATTCCCTGCAGGAATTTTATATGTTTGCTTAACATTAATTTGCACATAAACTCCACCTGCCTCATTTCCATATAAGAATGGTTCCTCTTTGATGGATACTTCTTCAGTTTCATCCTCAGGTTCCTCCTTCATGTAGATACCAGGAACTTTGAGGACTGATGGAGGATGAACCATGGATACATCTTCAGTTTCATCCTCAGGTTCCTCCTTAATGTAGATAGCAGGAACTTTGAGGACTGGTGGAGGATCAACCTTTTCTAAGGCTGGGAAATATGTACATTAGTGCACTGGTACCACAGGGCTATGGAGCGAGATATCTTATAATAAATATAATGCTTGCTAAATAAATGAGTCATGTGAGCTTTAGTTAAAAATTAATACCACTCTGATGAGTGAGACTCATGAGGTGGCATATTCCCACACAATGTTATCACATATTGTGCTAAAACTTATAAGAAATTAATATGACTGAGAATTAAATATGATAATTTGACATAGCCTCAGTCACTCCCCTGTTTAATATAACAATTGATCAAAAATCATGGTGACAAATAAAATTTTTTAGAAATAATTTCGTTTGTAATTCCCTGATCTACTTTAAATTTTTTCCATTAGCTATGTATGATAATGCTGGTATCCATGATACTTTACTATTCTACTAATAGTTCTTAATTCACGCAGAAAAAAAAGTCTCTACTTTGCTACTATTTATTAGTGAGGCACAGGGAATCTGGCTTACCTTCAGAGTTTACTTTGCTGCCACCAGGAGATGCTTGAGTGAGGCTCTGCTCAGGGATGTTTGTGTTTTTTTTATTAACTCCAAACTAATTTTCTGCATTTATCTGTGTTCTAGATTTATCGAACTGACGATGGAGCTGGTCTCCGAAACGTTTTCAAAAGAGATATGCTAAATTTTTGTGGTGTTTTCTTCGCTTTTAAATTTCTAGTTCATAATTCCTGCAGAAAAAAAAGTCTCTACTTTGCTACTATTTATTAGAGCGGCACAGGGAATCTGGCTTACCTTCAGAGTTTACTTTGCTGCCCCCAGGAGATGCTTGAGTGAGGCTCTGCTCAGGACATCTGCCACTCCTGACTGCAGCATCGGAGAGTTGGTGCTGCACAACACTGCATTCTTTGGTAATGGATGCCATCACCAAATGTGATGCTAGTTATAAATCACTGAGGTTGAGGTTGTTTAATCTTTATTGTTGACTGCAATGGCAGTAACACTGGAAGGATACAGGGAATTGTAAAGTGCAATCAAGGCTCAAAAGTAGGCTTTCATTTTAACATATGCAATAAAATTCATTTGTCCCAATTTACTTAAACACACAATTGCTTGCTAGATGCATCAGCAATCTTTGATGCAGATAACTTGGCTACAATTGATGATGGTATTTATAAAAAAATAGAAAATCTCGAAATAATTGTGATAGTACAAATTCTTGTTGATTTACATGAACACATATCAGGAGCATTGTTTGCATAAAGGAAGAGGAGCTGCAGTCGCAGAAAGTGTCTCAGGTTAGAGTCCCAAGCAGGACAGGTTCTTTGAGTAAGCTCAGCTCATGGCCAACTCAAGCATTCATCCAATTATTTTTAATAAACGAGTACCGGGCTTGTACAGGGAGTTGCGTAATGTAATAAAATGGTTCTGGTGGATCAGCAATCTATTGATGGCAATAGAAATACCATACTGAAACTTATCTATCAGAAATCAGGCATACAATCATGCACTAACTTTCAAAGTTGCCATTACCACGAAGGTCATTAGTCACCCACATAAAAAATAGCCTAGAAGTAACTATGCAACAAAAAAAAGTGACTGCATATGTAATTAAATATGATAGGACTTGCTTTTTCATGCATGCATCTGAAATTTGTCACTTAATCCATAGTTTTACCAACCACAATAAAGTACTACTTGATGTTCACAGTTTATATGGATCTATTGAAGGTGAGTTAAACTCACCTTCAGTATATGGACACATAGAAGTGCTAAGGTAAGATGTGTACAATGGGATGGGCTATCAGGCGGTTGCCCGCCATAAAAAAATAATAATTGGAAAGTGAATTTCCAAATTCCAAGGTTTTTTTTTCTAGACCATGGAGGAGGGCTTAGTTGGGTTCAGAACCGGCAGGAGGTATCAAGCAAGTATCATGCCAACAGCTGACTTGAACCAAATTTGCTCCACATGTCTTAGTTTGCTTAATGGCCTATCAAGGGGAAATTGAATGAAAAAATGCAATACAAGGAAATTTCTACAAATGGTTGGTGGGAGGAAGATAGGTCCTGGTTTGAGTGCCAAATGTTACAGAAGCTCACATGATAATGGGGCTGGAGACTTAGTGTGACTGAGGTTGTTTGCTGCATGAGGGTTTTCAATACAATGGTTTGACTGATGGTCCCCTCCTCCCCTAAAACCATCCAAAACCACTGCTTAGTTTAATCTGTTGTGTTTTTACATTTTCATTTATTAATTAAAGTAAGGGACAATTAAGCAAAATCATTTCAATTGCCGAGCTCTAATCAGAATAGTAAAAGGATACGTATAAAGTTATTATGTAAATGTATGATGGTAAGTCAAAGTTTACACCACATCAATAATTGATTCGTCTCATTGATTCTCGTTAAAATGGCTATAAATTCCGGAAAATTTTAAGCTACCTATTTTAACTGGGATGTCTCGTCTTGTCTCGGTATCATCCCGGAATTCCTACTGAAGGCTGAAAATTGTCCCAGTTTTTATTGTGAACCAGAACAGAGGTTCACAACTTGTCTTGTCTTGGATAAAAAAAATACCAAACGCAGGAGTCTAGTGAGTTCAACTCACCTTCAGTATATGGACAAATAGAAGTGCTAGGGTAAGATGTGTACAATGGAATGCACTGTCAGGCGGTTACCCAACATAAAAAAATCATAATGGGAGAGTGAATTTCCCAAGTTTTTTCTAAACTATAGAGGATGGCTTAGTTGGGTTCAGTACAGACAGGAGGTATCAAGCAAGTATCATGCCAACAGCTGACTTGAACCAAATTCGCTCCACATGTCTTAGTTTACTTAATGACCTACTAAGGGGAAATTGAAGGAAAAATGCAATACAAGGAAGTTTCTACAAATGGTTGGTGGGAGAAAGATAGGTCCCGGTTTGAGCGCCAAATGTTACAGAAGCTCACATGATAAAGTCACATTATAATGAGGCCGTCAACTTAGTGTGACTGAGGTTGTTTGCTGCATGAGGGTTTTCAAAACAATGCTTTGTCTGATGGTCCCCTCCTGTCCTAAAACCATCCAAAACCACTGCTTAGTTTAATCTGTTGTGTTTTTACATTTTCATTTAATAATTGAATCAAGAAACAATTACAGTGTAAGGTTTTGTCATGCATCAGGCAAGACCTATGCATGAGAGTCAACTTTTAAATTTTAGTTACTCTTCCTTTTAATGATTTGCCATCTTTTGCCAAAGTGGAAAATCACACATCAATTAGAAATATGATTATCCTAAAGAGTGCAAGTACTGACTAAAAATCTGGACCCAGACCAAGGGACTAAAATCCAGGCCCAGATGGGTCCTCCTACCACAATCTAGAAAAAAGGTATACATTGTAAATTATTTGAAACCTAAAAAAACGTAAAATTTTGAATAACAAATTTTAAATTTTTTTATCCCATTAGCACATCAGGACTTCAGAATAGGGCATTTCCAATCAAACTTATCAATAGAGAATTATCTGAAATGTCCAGAAAACATGAAATATATCATCTGAATTTATGTAAATTTCAAGTCAGGTCCAGCGGACCCCAGACCAGTCAAACGGTCCAAGAGATCATTTGACCGTATTTAGGTTGCAGATAAGTATATTTTAAATAAAACTATTCAATCGAATGTGGACCAGCATTCTTTTGTGCTTCTCAGATGAGATTTTTCTCAGTAAATTTACATGAAAAATTTCACATTTTCTCAAGATTTCAGATTATATGTAGCTTTATGTTTTTTGTGATCGTGGTACAAAAGACTAGTCCAGGCCCAGGTTTTAGTTGCTTGGTAGAGCCCAGCAGGCCGGTCTGGCTTACTGATGGTCTCCACCTCCACTACAACCTTCGTACACCAGCTTTCTATTCAACCTTTTACCGTGTTTTTATTCATAAATAATCAAAAACAATTGCGACAAGAAAAAACATCAAGTCCACGCAGGGTAGACTTAAAGCCACAGGACAACCGCAAGGATGACCGTTGGGCATGAGAGCTTGTGTAGT